AGGGGCATGCATAAGCGCACTAACGTGCCTACCATCCCTGTCCTAATGTCCCCTTTTATTCATACCCATTTCATGTAATCATAATCATGTTCTAATTATATCTGTTATCTAATACATGATTGACAAATAAATAAAATAAATAAATAGTGTCATTATACTGCAAAGAAAGTGGCAGAGATGCCATTTGGGATAGCTCATCCAAGTAGGGAAACTTGGCATCAAGTTAAGATAAGATCAAATTTTTAAAACCCTACAAATATTAATTGTTGGGGGTTAGAATTGGCAGTCTAGGGCCAATAGACCTTTGATGAGATCAGCAGGAGTTAATCTTAAATAAAAAGCTTCTTTTGGGTATCCACAGATTTTAAAATTTGATGTGTCTGAAGCCAATACTTCTGTAGATATGCAGCATGCAACATAATTCTAAAATTACATTTGGTATGACCTTAACAACTATTTAAAAAAATAAACACTAGCACAGATAATGTTACTTAGTTTGTCAATGAAATATCTGCAAGAAAACTGCCAAACTCAGAAAGGACTCCGCACATCTCTTCAAAATAATCTTCAAAAAAATCCAACTGATAATTGATCATAGTAAAACCTATTGATTTATATCAATCAATCAATCAATCAATCAATCAATATGCTTAATGTTTTGACTGTCTGTGGTAATAAACGACAATCACAATTTATGTTGTTATGGATTCACCAGTTGGTGTTGCAGTGGGATGGATATGGGATAGCAAAGCTCCATGGAGCTCCGCAAAACCCAGCCGATACCTACTTGCCAGGAGACCCTATGGGGTCAAAGCCATCTTAGAGGGATGGTGAAGAAAGGAGAGACACTTTTTAGATCATGAGGAAATAGCAATTTCCTTGATTGATCCAAAGAAACCCTCCCAATTGGCAGCAGAGACAATAGCCATTTTGGTAAGACTGAAGCTGTGACAAGACAACCAGGACAAGAAGATTATGGGCTGGAGCAGTTTGTGGACAGAGGAAATAGAGGATTGGAACTGGGTGAGATTTAAACCCAAATAAAAGAGTTCTTTTTAAAAAAAGACTCTACAAACGCTAAGAAAATGGCAATTTAACACATGGAGAAAGATTATAAACCCAAAACTGAAACAAACATTTAATGGAAGACTATGAAGCTTTAAAATATAGAAAGCTCAGACTGGAACTTTAGTAGTGTGAAAACTGACTTAATTTGCCAATAACATTGTCTGATTACTGGAAGAAATCATATAAGGAAAAAGGAAGTTTGTTTTCTTTTCTTTTTCTCGCTTTGATTTTCTTTTGACAATCAGCTGTTCTATTTTTGCTTTGTTTAATGCTGGAACTTAAAGCAGAGTTGCCACCTACTGGTGAAAGAAGATATATTAGTACACGGAAGGAAAAGACCTTGGCAAGTGAGGATTGATTGATAACAGAATAAAAACAAGGAGAAGAAGACAGGAAATAGTGAAAGGCAAATAACACCTGGAAGGCCTCTTTATTTTGATTCCATATCTACAGACATTTTAACTGCTTGGAAGTATTTAGTGAGCCTTTTGAAGATTTTTAAAGCAAGGTGGACTATAATTAGCAAGAAATATTCTTGAAACTGAACACTTGATTCTGTGGATTAGAGATTTGGGGAGATCTGGTGAGCCAATGTGGATTATTAATTCTATTTGATTCTACAAGGTGAAAGAAGAAAAATTAAACAAGTCTTTAAAAATTGGATAATTCTGAGGGTGCAAATTGGAAAATTTTTAAGGACTATAAATTTTGGGGATTTTGAGGAACAGTCTCAAGATTGAGTAAACTTTACTAATACTGGCATTTTTTGTGTTTCTGGGCAATTGGCATATTGGAATCTTAAGTAACTTTCAGCCTAATAAATTATTACAAAATGTTTCAACAGGGGAGAACAAATACAGTTCATAAAGAAATATTATTTATGTTTCAATGTATTTAGGAAGGTATGACAAGGAATCATAGGGAGATGGTGTGAGAGACTAGAAAAAAACCCAACAAATGATAATAAAAGATGAACAAAAAACTCAGGAAACAGAGGAGAAATCAGAAGGAAAGAATAGCGGAGATAAATAAAAAATGATAGAAGCAGATAAAGATATGAAAGAGATAGTAATAATTCTTAAAACAGAATAGATAGATAATTTTTTAAAAGCTCAAAATATAGAAGAGAATAAAGAGAAAGTTCTTCCAAAAGTGATGAAAGAATTACAGATGGGTGCTCTAGAGATCCAACAGCAAGAGATAGATGTTGAGGCAGTTGAAATACTTAGATTAAATAAGCATGATGTAAGGAGATACAAGCAGTGGTGAGATTCTGTCAGTTCTAGCTGGTTCTGGCGAACTGGTAGTGATAATTCTGGCTGGCTCACCCCACCCTGCCCACCACCACGCCACCCCACCCAGTCACTCCTCATTTTGTCTGCTTGCCCGGCATAGCTGCTGCTGCTCTCCATCTGGCTCCCTGGCTTGCCTCAACCACATGGCCAGCTTGCCTGCTTTCATTCAGCTGCATCCCATGTGGCACTCTGTGTGGGCCAGCTGATTCAAATTTTTTAATAAATGGCTCTGTGGGTGTGGCTAGGTGGGCGTGGCCACATGACTGGTGGGCATGACTGGCACCCCTCCCCGTGCTCCATTTTTGGGCCTCCTGGGCCTCAGGGAAGCCTCCTGGGGTGGCGTTTTTGCTCCCAGAAGGCTTCTCTGAGGTCCAGAAAGGCAAAAAATAAAGTGCAGGAGGGCACGCAGCACCCACCACCACCTGCACACCCTTTGTTGCATCTTGGGCCTCAGGGAAGCAGTAAGACAGCAAGGGGGATCCCAGCATAGCTGATCGATGGAACAGCTGATCGTTGGGAGGGAAAAACAGAAATACCTTAAGGAGTGATTGGGTGGGGGAGAATGCAGTCAACGATATTGGATAGTGTGCAATGTCACACATGTATGATAAGGACTGACTGGGAGGGGAGGGGAAGGCAGAGAGGGGAGGGGCCAGCCACAGACACAATTTGCCAGTTCTCTGAACTGCACAGAATTGTAACAACTGGTTCTATAGAACCGGTCCGAACCAGTAGAATCACACCCCTGAAGGGACGGAGAGGGAGAGAGAGATGTGGCTTCTTGGGGGTGCATTTTGGAGAAGTGTCAAGAGAAATGCTAAAAGGGCAATCAGTTTGGGATTAAATTCCAAATGAAATTAGGTCTTCAGGGTAAGGAGACATGAAGAACTTTCTGCTGCAGATTTTTATCTTATTAAATTATTAATTATTTTTTATAATAATAATAATTTTATATTATTAATAATAAAAATAATAATTGTTAAATCTTATTAAAAAGAATTTATAGAAGCAACTCTATAACCCATTAGTCCAGAGGGAGCAAAAGAGATAGGGTCCCAATGAGTGCCTTAGCTATTTCGCTTAGGAATAACAGAGTTGAAAGAGATTTTGGAGGTCTTCTAGTTCAACCCCCTGCTCAGGCAATGTCAGAGCATTTGCAGCATAACTGCTATTATGAGACAACCCAAGAGCAAAACACAACACAGAGAAACTTAGACATTTAACAGTGGTTTATATATAAGATATATACAGAAATATAAGTGGTAGGCATGTACCTTACAAGCAAGCAATCTTCTTAACTCTGTATGGAGAACTCTGCAATAAATACCGGACATAAGGAGAGAGAACATGCCCTCTAATGGCTGCCTTTATATAAATACCTCTTAAAGGGCCAGTCTTAAAGGAAAATACCCATACTATGCTGATTCATCCTGGTTACATCAGCCCCATATTGCATCAGCTTCACTGCTTGTCAGCTCTTAAATCCCAAGACCTTAATACTCCTTCCATTTAAAGCCAAATAGCAGATACTCCAAACATAAGGAGAAATTAATTACAGAACATTTACAATAATACCTTTGATTCTACTTTTACTATTTTATTAGTAAAAGGGAACTTCCAATCTCAGTGTGGTATTGTTAAAACCTCTTTTTTGAGAGTTCCTGGAGACTTTCCTAGCTCTCAAAGAAAAGTCTTCCTCAAAGCAAAATTCTTTCCTGTGAACTAAACAGACAAGATTATGCAATTTTCTTGGCAACAACATACAGATGGGTTATCACTGATTGCATTCTTTCCCTTTTTTAAAACTTCTGATTCTAGCTTATGTCCCTAGAGTTTCTTTGTGGTTGCCCTTTAATTAATAAGCACATCTGACTCTACTTAGTGTTTTTGAATTCCCCAAGATTGACTAGTTGCTACAGCCTGCTGTTATATCTTCAGTATCTATGTTTCCAATATTCAGAAGACTGAGTTCTGATTTTGATGCAGAAACATACCAAAGCTCTAAAACAGGTTTGGAAAATGTAAACATGAAATGAGAAAATAAACAAAGAAACAAAAACAATTGTAAAAGACAGATCTCAGCCAATGTATATATGTAAGCAATGCTGAGTCTTTGGGGGTTGTTAAAGGGTGCTAACTCCTGGTTTAAAGAATGCTCACAAAATTGTATGCCTTTTAATAAATTGTATTTGTCAAAAAGATGCTACTAGACTTCTTTGGTCACCATAGAGTAACGTGTCTCTCCTCCTTCCTGTGCAGTCTTGCGTAATGGTTCAAAATACCATTAAGTTCATAAAATTCATTTTCTATAAACTCAGAACAAATTTCATTTGCAGATCAGCAATCAATATGGTTTTTGACCATCTCTGTCATGCCCTACATTTTATGATTTTAGATGTTGGTCAGTGATGGAATGATAGAATAGCATATGCCCATACTAGAACAGCTTTGCAATTAGAGCATACCAAATCAAAGTTAGCAACATTCTCAAGTAGCTGAAATTATATTTACACATTTGTTCTGATTGCTTGTGGTTGTTTTGTGTGATGTATTGTATAGATTCAACTGCACATTATGTGATCTGAGTAAATGATAAATGAAAACATGACTTTCATGCTCTGACTTGTGTTTTCACAGATTCAATGGGAGTGTATAAACCCCAAGTATAAAGTAAAGAAGAAGAATTACAAAAATTCTGGCATCATCATTCTTAATCTGTGCAAGGTGCTTTTATTTAAGCAGTGCTTTAATGAATATGAAAATATTGTTTTCAACATCCATGACAAAAGTAAATACAGGAGAGGGAATTAAGTTCTGCTGTCCATATTTTGTAGATTTTTATATGTGTCAAAAATAGAAGATGTCATAAAAATGCATATTGTAGGATTTCCAAAGGTAGGAAAACAGATGTTGCTACATAAAGGTAGATCAACATTTTCATTGGGTTGACAGCTGCAGATCCAAAATGGGCACTGACTGTCATACAGTCAATCTGTTAGCCAGGTATATTCAAAGGAATACATTTGCTTAATTATATTAAAAGATACCATTGAAGTTTCTGAGTTAAGATTAAATTCTGGTGATCTCTGGGCATATCAATAGAGTTGCCTTGGTATTTGACATCTTTGAGGACATGTTTTGATTTTTAGATAATATCTGCTAATCTTGGTAGTTTCCCATGGAAATACTAACTAAAGCAATCTTGCTTAGTTTCTGAACCTAGATAATATAAGCCAAGGATATAGCGCCATCATTGAACTTTGTTGTGCTCACAGTACTGGAATTAAATGGATAATCTAATAAAACAAGAAAATGGGATTTAATAAATCTAACTTCAGAATACACTGAAGTTAATCCATAATTTAATTGCACTGGTTTTAAATGAAAAAGAAAAGTCCAAATGATGGTTAGCCTGAAATTGCTGGAAATGTAACCAATGGGCATCCAGATGGAGGAGTGAGAAAAAATTATTATAATTGAGACATTAATTGAGATATTGTCCAATCTGGTTAATATATGGATCAGAGGCACCAGAAATTCTCAGGACTACGGGAAGCTCTTTTTTTAAGGAAAAACAACTTGGAAGAAACCAGAAACAAACCATTTCTGTGTTATTTCAGGAAAGTTACAGAAATGTGTCCATCTAATCAGCAGATGTCAAGATTTACCAAGCGAAATCCACATCTTTTTATCTTACTGTTTATATTCTGAGAATTTGGCAAAATGTTATTATTCATCTATGTTTACCTATACACTTATCTATTTTTTTTATTAGACCAAAATTAAAAAATTAAAAATTAGGCAATAAAGGGCAAAATTGTTGTACAACATTTTGTAATTAATAGTTCTACAAGCCCTCCACAGAAAAGAACAGTTTATTATTCCAATGAGCTATAATTCACAATGGAAGGATATCAAGAGAGATGGAAGCTTGGGGATTTTTTCTAGTGCAGTCCACATGTATCACCTTAGGAAAGCATGGCCTACTCCACAAGGAAAATACAGGTAGTCCTCTACTTATGACCAAAATTGAGCCCAAAATTTATGTTACTAAGTGACACATTTGTTACATGAACTTTGCCCCATTTTATGACTTTCTTTCCACAGTTATTAAGTGAATCACTGCAGTTGTTAAGTTAGTAACAAGGTTTTTAAATCCCCATTGACTTTGCTTGTCAGAAGGTTAAAAAAGGTGATCACATGACCCTGGGACACTCTAACCATCATAAATATGAGTGAGTTACCAACCATCTGAATTTTGATCTCATTGACTATGGATATACTTCAATGGTCATAAGTGTGAAAAATGGTCATAAGTTACTTTTTCAGTGCCATTGTAACTTTGAATGGTCACTAAATGCACTATTGTAAGTTGAGGACTACCTGTAGATAGAAATAGCTCCTTGTGATAGTTCTTGGCTTGATAGGGTCATAAGCAAATTGACTTTGAAGAAATATTGTGGAATTCCAACAGATGATGTTAAAACAGATCAAACTATTTTATTCCCTTCTGCATTTGCAAAGAAATTAGTGGAACTTCTTTTTCCAAGACACTCATTGGTGTCCCTAACTGCTCTGAAAAATAAGCAAGCACAAGATGAGCAAGCACAAGTTAAGCAAGCAGCAACAATAGCAACAGAATGTTCCTTTTCTCATTCCTCCAACACTTCACATGACAGATAGATCTGTCTTAAGTTTTACTATCAATGGTGCACTGACTTTGGGATATTGTAGCAACCCCAAATGTGGCATTGAACCATAGAACATCATATATGGAGATTCTCAGGCATCCAGGTCATGGTTGTCCCAAAGATGCTTTTTCAACCACCTTTGAGACATAGAACATTGTCCATTTTGGGAAATCCCAAATCCATTCCCATTAAAAGGTACCTCAGCTAGTAACCCCATATGATTACATAATTTTCAACTCTCTTCCAAAATAATTCTATGCTATGATTCTTAGCATTAAAAGACTTCTTTTTCCTCCTTTATGTAAAGATAGGGAGAAGGAAAGAATATTTACTTTTAACATGAGGGACATTATTTCCTGTATCACTTATTCTCAATGTTTTCTAAATTACTAATGGCTACAAAGATATACCTTCCCATATAACACAAAGGAAAAATATTTAAGAACGCATGGTTTTAACCCCAAATTTCTGACTTTTTCCCCTCCAGATTCACAAGATGCATTCATTCTTAGATTACATAATGGGTGGCTGCCAAATACAGTTTACAGTAAGTATTTTGTTTATTTAAAAAAAAGACAAAATCTTTCACATTGCAAATATTATTTTTCACACAGAATAATAGACATGAAGTAATATTGCAAGTTTTTGAAGTAATTTTGTTCAATTCAGATAAGATATAAATGTGTTAAAATCAGGCGTGGGATTCTACAGGTTCTATCCGGTTCTATAGAACCCCTTGTTAACTTTCTAAGTAGTTTTGAGAACTGGTAGTTAGAAGCAATCTCCGTTTGTTTTTTTTCCACCCTTATTACATTCTTGGCAGACAGCCTAGACTTCCTGTCCCTGGAGCTTGTGAGTCTTGGCTTTCTTAAAGGGGAAGGGTTGTTTTAAGATTTTTACACTGCTGTTGGGAAGAAATACTTCCCTGGACAATCAGCACTTTGAAGAAATAGTTGAATAATGAAGGAAAGCTTTTAATGACAGGGAAACAAGATGAGTGACATTCAGCAAGGCTTCTTGGCTAGCTAGAAGGATTGACATTCAAACGTGAGTTTACATACTCTTTCTGACTTTTGGTCTAAAACTGGCTTTTGGTGAAGTTTAATCCTGTGTTTATTAATGTGATAATTTTCTCTATTCAGCTTCAACAATCAACAGCTACTGTTGTGATTTATTTGTATGGTGTTTGAATTTTTTCTTGCCTCATGGTTTCTTTTTCTATTTGGGGAGGGGGTCTTCCTTCACTGCTTTAATACTATCTGGCACTGTCCTTTGGGGGTATACTTCCAAGAGGTAGGATGCAAGTTTGGCACTGATTTTTTTTACTACCTTTCTGGGAGGCATGTGATCTTTCCTTAAATCTGGGTGATTTCCTTAGGATATTTTGTGAGGTGAGTGAGACCAGCAGGTATTTTTAAGTGTTTAAATGGATCTAAGGATTTCTTCTCCTGGGTGTGCTCTTTCTGGAGAGCTTTAATGACCTCTCTGTTAAAGGGTTTCCCTTTATGAGCAAGAGTTGGCTGCTTGATAGTTATCACTGCATTTTAAATATTTTCATTCCTCAAGGTGCTCTGGCACCCTACCTGATTTGTAACTCCGCCTTGCAGGTATTTTTAATCTAATGATTGGGATTTAGGGCACCTTTTTGCAAGCAAAGAAGCTTTTTGTACAGGTAATCCTTGACTTACAACAGCTCATTTAGTGACCATTCAAAGTTACAATAGCATTGAAAAAAGTGACATGACCATTTTTCATATTTTTGATCATTGCAGCATCTATGATATACTATCATGAGAGGCCAGACGAGGGGAAGCGCCCCTTGACATGAGTGATGTTGAGTTGGCCACTCCTACCCAGTCACATGACCAACAAGCCACACCTACCAACTAAGCCATGCCCACAGAACTGGTTATTTAAAAAACTGAATCCCCCCCCTTGTTTAATAATCTGTTGAAAAATATAACATATTTAAGCTTGTATAAATTACACTCATAAATAATAAAAACCTGATAACATGTAAAATTTAATTTTGCTTATAAATATTTGGCTTTTAGGAAACATATACAGAATATATGGAGAGAAACAAATCCAGGGGAAAACCAGTACACATTCTATTCAAATAGGCACAAACTATGGTCTAGAATTGATACAATATGGATGTCGGAATTGAGAACAAATGTGCAAGAGATAGAGATAGAAACTAATATATGAGCCAACCATAACCCAATAAAAGTCAGTTGGAAGGGGCAAAAGAAAAGGTTGAGACAGATAGATAGGTTGAATCAATCTATACTAAAAGATAAAGAATTTATACAAACAACAGTAAAAGAAATGGAATTCTTCTTTAAGGTGAATAAAAAAGAAGAGACTTCACTGCAAAACCTATGGGATACAGTCAAAACATATATCAGGGGAGCTATATTATGTAAGCTATAACTTACATAACGAGAAAAATTAGAAAAAAAACAACATCAAAAGATGTCAGAAGAAGAACACAAAAAACTCAAATTAGAATTACAAAAAGAGCCACAAAAGGGACATTTAAAAAATCAAATGGAAGCAAGGCCACACTTTGAATACTGCATTCAGTTTTGGTCACCACGATGTAAAAAAGATGTTGAGACTCTAGAAAGAGTGCAGAGAAGAGCAACAAAGATGATCGGGACTGGAGCAGAGGTGGTATTCAGCAGGTTCTGACTAGTTCTGGAGAACTGGTAGTGGAAATTTTGAGTAGTTTGGAGAACCAGCAAATACCACATCTGAACTGGAGATTTTACAGTATCCTTCCCCTGCCATGCCCACCAAGCTGTGCCCACAGAACCAGTAGTAAAAAAGTTTGAATCCCACCACTAGACTGGAGGCTAAAACATATGAGGAACGGTTGCAGGATGAAAAGAAGGAGATGGGGAAACATGATAGCAGTGTTCCAATATCTCAGGGGCTGCCACAAAGAAGAGGGACTCAATCTATTCTCCAAAACACCTCAGGGCAGGACAAGAAGGAATGGGTGGAAACTAATCAGGGAGAGAAGCAACTTACAACTAAGGAGAAATTTCCTGACAGTTAGAACAATTAATCAGTGGAATGAATCAGCCTCTAGAAATTGTGAATGCTCCAACACTGGAAGTTTTTAAAAAGATGTTGGGTAACCATTTGTCAGAAGTGGTGTAGGGTTTCATGCCGGGACAGGGGGTTGGACTAGAAGACCTCCAAGATCCCTTCCAACTCTGTTATTCTATTCTATTCTATTTGCATAACTAATACTGTAAGTTAGATGCTCATTTTCTAAAGCAGTGACTCAGAATAAACTGTGATATGATTGTACCAAGCTTTGGGTATTTATCAATTCATAGTATACATCTAAAAAAAATTTCTTTAGACATTTGCTTTGTTTTTCTTTGCTAAAGCCAGGTTTTGCTAAAGCCAGGTTTTGAGGTTTGCTACTGCTGTTTTGGGAAACAAAATTTCCAAAAATGCTGGTGCATCTGAATACAAACTACAGTCATTTGCACTTTTGAATTGAATTGTCAACTGGAATACATTTGTCCTTCCAGCTTTATTTGAGATTTGTGGAGGAAGTATTCTGCTTTAATTCTTATTTAAAATGCATTTTAATCATATATAAATTTTATGTTCACGTGTAAACATATATGAACATACGTTTAATACCAAAATGTATGTTTTGATATTATTATACACACATGCATATATAATATGAAATGCTTTTCTATACACATACATACACAGAGAGAGAGATACAAATATGCGTGAAGTCAAAGTTCCATGCATCTTTTTAAAAATAAATAAATAAATACAAATGAATATAGGAGGTGGACAAAACAGTTATATGACTAACACTAAGAAAGATGAAACTATGCTCTTAAATCAGGGGTGGCTAATTAATGTTCCCAAGGGTCCACTGGCGACTGGGGAACCTGAGAAACTGGAACTGTTATGGAGTGGTGGCACAATAGCTTCAGACTACACTTGCTTGCAAAGCCATGCTTTGACCTAGGCAGTGGTGACCTGAGCCCAGATCCCTCACAAATAACCACTGCTGTCACCTCAGGCTGATCTAGATGAGGAGTGAGTGCTGTGCAGTCACAGAAAATTGCTTTCTCTCCTTTCCCTCCCATGGTCACCAGCCAATTGAAGGAGCACAGGGGATGATTGAAGAGAACAATATCTTATTTGTTCCTTTCTCCCATCCACTATGGCATGTTTATTGATATTTGACTTCTTATTTCCAGTTGACCTCACATAGGCCAGACAGAGACAGCCAAAGGGCCAGATCAGAGGTGGTATTCAGCAGGTTCTGACCACTTCTGGAGAACCAGCAGTGGAAATTTTGAGTAGTTCGGAGAACCGGCAAATACCACCTCTGATTGGAGATATTACAGTATCCTTCCCCCGCCATGCCCACCAAGCCATGCCCACAGAACCGGTAGTTAAAAAAATTGAATCCCACCACTGGGCCAGATGTGGCCTGGAGAACTGTAAAATGCACAAGTCTGTCTTAGATCAATCTATAGATATTCCTTTTTCCAGTGACATATTGTCCTCAAATATTAAAAGCTGTATGTCAATCTTAAGAAATTAAAAATAATAATTGCCTCCTGTTTAAGTTTCTGGTTTCATAAAGCAGATAATAACTTAGCAATAAAATGTTTGGCCATAGTCCTGGGGGAAAAAACTAAAGAACTACAGGTTTTCCCAGATATTAAGGGAAATTATAAGCATGGATTTTCACTTCCAAGATTCATCTAATTCATCTATTTTTCTGGAAGAACATTCAAGGACAATATATCCTATAATAATAAATATGGATATGGATATGAATATGAATATAAATATGGATATGAATATGAGTAATAAATATGATATTCTCAAAAAATATAAATTAAATCTAGTAAAGGTCCATAGGAATTAATGCCATTAAGACATTTGTTAATCATTCACATGTCATAAGACTTGCAGTGGGTGTTTTGTTTTGTTTTTAATTTAGAATAAGTCCAATTGAGCTCAGTGGAATTTAATTCCAAACAAGCATGTTTAGAATTAATGTTTACATCTCATAGAAATCAGTGGCAACAAGATTTTCAGAATTCACTTTAAAAGCTATTAACTAAGTACTGAATCTATATCTACTGTATATTCATACTTGTATCTATATATAACATTAAATATATAAATGTATTAAATAAAATCAATTATTAGAATTGTGATTCATTTTAACCCATAACATGTGAAGGACTGCAGTACATTTTGTATATAATGTAATTTGTGTGTGTGTGTGTGTGTGTTTATATATATATAAATATATTTGTTTATATATTTGTTTTCTGAGGTTCTCGCGGGTATTTGTACGTGGATCTTTGGTTATTCGGGTTTTCTCCCGCGTAAAATTGGAAGTATCCAGGTGACGTTTCAATGAAGTCTCATTCATCATCTTCAGGCTTGTGTCTTCAGCTTTGTGCTTCTCAGAGTAAGTTTAAGATGAAACCTAGCTTCCTAACTAATGATAGCCATCCATTTACCCGGAGCCAA